TGGTGAGTGCCAGAGGCCAGTGCTTGCCTGCAGGGCTGGCAATCCTGCAAGTCTCCTTCCCTGACCTGTTGGCAATTAGAAGCAGCAGAGTATCATCTGTAGCCAGCTGGGCGAGCCAGGCCTCAAGAGCACTGCTGTAGTCTCTCCAGCACTTGTTACTACGACAGACAGCCGATGGATAGAGGCAGGACAAAGGAGAGTGCTAGCAAATTCCTTAATTGATGAATGACTGCTAATATCACCTAATCAAGGAACCCTCCAGCTTCTGCATGTTTGCTGACAACTCCGCACTCATCCAGCTCCTGCTTAGTCTTGGCTGTTCTCTCACCTACTCCACCCATGGCTGACAAATTTTGTACAGCTTTATAACCTAATCCCACTAAACGTATGAGTCAGGGTGTTGCTTATTAAAAAAAGGTGTGTGGTCATACAGACAATTACAGGTACAAGAGAGTGGTAAGGTGGTGCTGAGAACAAGACAGGAATAGTTATAAAGCTATTGGGCTGTGTAAACATGGAGGTAATTGCTCCTTCCCAAACCAAATTCAACATAAATAATCAAATAACTCAGCATAAGTGATGAAATCTCAAATGATCAATGACAATTGTGTTTTGCACTTTCCCAGGACCATCTAGTTCTAAGGCTAACAGCACTTTAAACTGTAATTTTTTCAAGTGTTGAGTTATAAAACTGGAAACCAGGACATTACTACTCTTTCTATTTCAGACAAGTTAAGCGATGAATGAGAAAGTAACAGGTTTCTTGACTGAGTGCTTACCAAGAAAGCCAACTGTAACCCAGAACTTTTACTGTTAAAATTATGAGCCCATGAAAATCCAAGTTTATAAGAACAAAGTTGTTTACAGACTCAAAATAACAGCATCCATCATTTTAATGCTGTAACTCCAAATTAAGACAGTGCAGATGGGCATAATTTTCCATTCTTAATATGAGACACAACACCATGTGTCTTTAATATAAATGCAACATATACATTCAGCTAGGCTGTTGGTTTATTCTTACATTTCATATTCAAACCTAAGTCATTAACAAAGAAAAAGCGAGTGAATGCTAATGCAGTAAAGATGATGACACAAAAATCAGTCGTTTAACAAAATCTAACCTCTTATTTGTCAGATCTGAAAAGAACAAAAAGTTTTCTCTATTAATGGTTTCAGTTAATCCTGTATCCAAACATTTTCCCCAATAAACATCAGATTATTTTTATGTTGGCTATAAAGCTGTCACTCCTCAATAAACAGATATGCTCCTGGTGGGTTTACCTCTGCTGTCAAAGATCTGTCAATTCATGCACCATCTCCTAAGCGAAACCAGAGAAGCTTGGATGTGCGGCTCATGGCGAATCCAGCTGAGCAGGGGTTGCTCACCACCTGAGACGATTCGTGCTGCTGCAGCCCCCGTGCGATTGGCAGCGACTGGGCGCTCCCAACACAAGTTCGCAAAAGCCCTGAAGTTAATGCTCCTGCCTCCCTTTAATAGAAAGCTATGTGACCTTTAATGCTCTGCTTGACTGAGCCTTCCTTTAGTGAGTCTCAATTAAGTTTTATGTTTTGTGGCTCCCATTTTCTTGTAAGACAAGAAAAGAGTTCAAGGGATGTATCCTTCTTTGAAGAATTTAATTCCCCGTGGAGAAAATTTATTTCCATCTAAAGAGCTGCTCAAAGTTAGGGGGAAGGGAGCTTTGGTAGGGTTTTTTTCCCTGTGGTTTTTTTTTTGGTTAAGAAATTTCTAGTATTTCATGAAGTTATCTTCACAGGAGTCTTTAGATTCTTTGAAAAGGACAGTGTTCTATTAGTGGTTAGACTGGAAATAGTTCCTCTGCCCTTTTCATTATAACGAGGAGAAAATCAGAGGGATGGTTAAAGAAATCCTGGCCATTTTTTGTGATGAAGCAGCTTTCCATGAAATCATCAGATTGCTACTGTGATACTGTAGTAATGTAATACTGTTTAATTTTCAGTAAGAGGCATTGCAGCAAATGAAATATTTGCATACGTATTCATAAAAATACATACTTCCTAGGCTGATTCTGCATACTTGACCTAAATAACAAGGTCAAAAAATTAAGGCATTAGGAAGTGGCTTGTCTGAACTGGGCTCTGACACTCTAGCTCACCAGAGTTGCTACTACTGAAAATACAAGTACAAATGAACATAAGCACTATTCTCACATGCAAACATTTTCAGGAGCAGGCTGCTAGTAACATTTATTTTCTCACTATGTTCCTTTATTAAATTAGCTTGTTCTGTAATCAACTTAACAAAAATTCACATATGCCAGTAGGCAATTCTGAGTGCTGGAGAGAGATGCCTAGACTCTTTATAGTCACAATACACTGAATTAGGTATTTCAGAAAATGTCTAAAAATGCCACACACTGATGGGGTCACTTCATATTGCCAATATGAACTAAACATGGGGCATAAATGAATTTCTTATACCTTCTCCAAGATTTACACACCTGAAGCTGAACACTTAATAGTTTTTGTTTGCTTAGTATCTAAATGCGACGCCCTTTCTCGGTGCTGTCTTCTGCATATTTTTGTGGTCAGCCAAGGAAGGGGTTATCAGGCTTCATGGTTTCCACTAACTAAAATATTTGCAGTCACCTCTCTCACTTCCCTCACAAGTGTCATAACTACCATGCTCCAGAAACTGGATAACCTGTGCAGATGAGAATGCAAGACTGATGGAGTCAAACAGGTTTTTCAGGATTAGCTGTTTACTACTTTTATTTTTAGCCAAAATTTAAGATTATATTGTATCTAAGATTCATCTCCTTTTTTTCTTAGTGCTTACTACTGATGACTGTTTAAATGTGACCTTCTGCCTCTAACTTCCTGGAGAAAAAATAGGTATTCATAGAATTTGCTTTTTGTTTACTTCAGTATCGACTGCTTTTGCAACAGGCAAGTAAAACTCTCCATTAGCGCTAGCCCGACAGAAATTTAGTGTAATCTACTACTAAGTTGTGATTTAAATCTATAATCATTTCATGTAATCATCTTTTCCTGCTTACAGAGTCATGCTTTGATATAAATGCGGAAAAAAACATATACTGGCTTGATTCCAGTATTGGCGCACAAGCATTTTACAGAAGAAAACTCAACCCAACAATCTTCATCTCTCCTTTTGGAATTTCATTCACAGATGACTATTGTGCTCAGACCCTTCATTGTTTCTCCCCAGTCAAACAGTTTATGCATGTTAGGCAGCACACTGTCTGAACACTGGGAAAATAATAATGGAGTCAAATCCATTGAATAAGTAATAGCTACATCTCTGAGAAGCATTTGAAAATCACAACATGTAAAACAATTGAAACAGAATATTTGTTTCCTTCTTCTCCTCCCCCAAACAGTAAGAGAACTGTATTTTGTATGGTACATTAAAGTTTGCAGTGCCCTGCTACTGTTTTGTACATGTGGGTTGTAGAAATATCCAGTTACACAATATAATCATATAGGTAATAAAATAAGACCCTAAAATCAATTAACTTGGAAGCTGTGTCTTGATTTAAACTAATTCTCCAGATATGTCTACCCATTCTTAATTTTGCAGTTTATGACTAGTTCAACAAAATAAAAATACCAGTGAGTTTGGATGAGATAAATAGCATTTTAATGCTCACTGACTTAATTATTGAAATTAGTTCTGTATTTAAAAATAGATTGATATGATTGTAAATATTAATACTTTCCTACTACAAAACATAGTTGTCTTTTGAGAAGCCATGAAAATTAACATATACTCACCTTAGAAAACTCCAGAAGCCATAAATTATAAGTTTTGTGAAATCTTTTTAGCTTTTAAGCTTTTTTAATGCCTTGTAGTGATAATGCACAACATCAACCTCCCAACAAAAATGAATTTACCACTGATAAGGGCAAATGTGAAAACTTCCTCTCTCAACAACTCAATGAAACTTCTCTACGTTTCCCTACATTAACAGTTCAAACCATCCAGTTCTGTATCTATGTACTGATGTAGTGTAGCTTAGCTAAACTTCTCTGCAAGAAACAAAACTGGTCTAGTTCTTAATTTTCACTGCTTGTCTCACCTCTGTTTTTCCAGTATGGCTTGTGGACACAAGAAGTCTGTGCCTCGCTGCACCTATGCTGCTTCCATATGTGGTATGTATGCCACTATATAGAAGAACAGTTCCATTTTGATGAATATATGGATAAAAAATGGGTTGCTACTGTATTTACAAAGTTCGTATGGAAAGCCTGCCAGATACTCAGAAGTGGGATTTACTAATTAAAGATACCCTGATTAAAGGCTAACTCCTGAAGAGCTCCTGTGGATAACAGGCTTAACTTTAAGCATATGATCAGTCTGATTACATTCACTGGCTTTAACTGGTCTGCTCGTAAAATTAAGTGTGTATTTGAATGTCTTTCTGGATCAGAGACCAAGACCCTTAGAGGAGCTTGGGCTTGGAGCAATGGTGCCTTCTGAAGCCGGTACAATTCAGGTGACTAGGGACCATAAATCCTTGCCCATATTCTGTCAGACTGAAAAGCTGTGGAACTTTGCTCACAGAGGCCCTGGAAACATTGCCTACCACAACCAACTGGGAATGCCAGTTCATCAGAGCTTGGAAACCAGTACTTCACTGAACTGATAATAGCTCAGGCTGAGCTAGCTCAGAAACCCAGGACCAGATACAAGAGCCTAGATCCTGCATGGCAATGATGGGGCCATCCTGCTCCCAGTCCCAAGGTAGTGTTTGCCTCAGTGTCTCTAGACAACTGTGCATTCCAGTCTTTAAACATATCCTAACAGCAAAACTTGTTATTGTGAGTGTAAGTAATGTTAAGACTTTTCAAATTGTGCTCGTTATGTAACAGTACATGTTTGCCAAATTCTGGCAATTGCAAAAAAGGGTGGAATATAAAGAGGATCTAATGTCTGGAAAATGGGTGATTAAAAAAGGTCACATAAAATTGACAATTTTAAAAACATATACTCTTACCCTTCTCGTTGGAAAATAGTCCTAAAACAGTCCCCCAGGCTCTTGTAACCAGTCGGATCAGTTTTCCCTCTTTGAATTTGGAACCTAAAAAAAATACAATTTACATCACAGCATGAGAAGTCAGGGATTTTAAGTCGCTTTTAACTTTCCAATTATTATATAAAAGGAGTTTAAAAGGTTTTTTTACGTATCTGATTCATTATTATATACTGTTCCTGATATACTTATTAACACTGTTTTCATAGAAGCTGTTAAACTAAGGAAAAATAGAGCTTTAGTAGTAACTTTTTTTGTAGTTTATGGAACTCACAGTATAGCTATCACCTTTGACATTTACACCTCTTTCTAGTTGTTTGAAAAATAAGCTGTTAACCCTGTGCCGGATCCAAAGCCCATTGAAACTAATGGGAGTCTTTGAGTCAAACCCCGTTTTTGAAAATCTGAAATGGAATACTATCATGTGTTTCACTATGAAATGAATTCACTGTGCAGTTTCTTTCTTTTTATATCTGGCGCAATGACAATAGAAATCAACCAGAGACATGACCAGAAATTAGAGCACCATTCATTTTTCATAATTTAATAAGATGAACAATAAAAGCAAGCAATGAATTATTTTAATTAAAACCTTGTTCTCTCTATTCACATTTTGACAACAATAAAGATTTCAACAGGAAGTCTGTGGCCTTGAAAGGAAAATCAAGATTATGATTTAGGATTGTAAACATTTTATTATTTATGATTTATAGATAGGAACAGTGAGTTTAACCATCTATATTATTTACTAAGTATCTAAATCAGATTACCCTATTTCTTGCAGTTTTAAAACTGCAGCCAACACATTCAACTAAGCAGTATGGAGAAATTTTGAATATATTTTTAGGAATAAAACTTCTATTTAAACTGATAATTACTATATAGCACTCAGGAAAAAAAAAAAAAAAAAAAAAGAATATTGGTGTTAGCAATTCCAGACTACAATAGCCCCGTATCAGGCAGTCACTAAGTTGGCTTTATCACTAAGTTCAATAAGTATTCTACACAACAGTGTTCAACAGTTTCAAGGAATAACTGACATTACAGTCAAGTATGTCATTTGCCACCGGTATGTTGCTGTTCAGAGAAACTTCTATTGTTACTTATTCCAACCATGATATTGAATCTCATTAATATATAATAAACAAAGGTATTTTAAACAGCACTGTTCTTCTCTCTCTCAACAGAATTCAGTAGGGTCAAATCAAGGTTTGTATTGTGGCAAAAGGCACTAACTGTTTTGATCATCAGTATTTCCTAAGCTGTGTTTTGTGCTAACACATCTAATATTTTACTCACTTTAAGGAAAAAATTTCCAGTGACGTAATACAATTCTGGGCAATTATGAAGGCAAGCCCACACCTTTTTTGAAAACAGTTAGAAGGAAACACTGAGCCCCTCCATAGTCCTAATAAAAGTAGTTCAGGCACATCTGGGATCTCTATCTGGGGTAACCTCTTTTATTAGCATGAGAGCTTGCTGCCAAGTTGGCAGAGAGGAGAATGCTGTTCAATAGGCTTACACTCAAATAAGAGCTGATGCATAACATTTTGTCTGAAAAGAACCCTTGGGAAGGCTAATAGTTGAAAAAAAAATGCCTCAATGCCATCACACAAAGTCCAACAGTAATATCAGCTACAGAAGCTTTTACACTGTGGCAATCAAGCAATCAAAATTATAACAGGAAGTAGATTCTGTGTACATTTTAATACATTTAAGACTTGATTATTTATACCTCTCAGTTCAAAATAAAAAATGGCTTTCTTTTGTTTAAAGGAATCTTGCAAAAACTCACCAGTAAATAAATTTTTCCAAGTACTTAAAAAATAAAGCTTTCTTAACCCAAACTCTTTTCCTTCAAGATCTGGCCTGCTTGTAAATTCAGAACAAAGCATCGCTGTTTCTAAAACATCCTCCGAATAATGCACCTTCCCTCTCTTTCACCCTGCAAATGCTCAAGCATGTCCTACTTGCATGTGTGTAAGGTTCCCCACTAAATTGTGCATACACAACTGTTTGTAGAACTGGGGTTTTAATCCCAGAACTGCTGTGGATTTCAACAACATTGTGAACATACTTTTATAATTTTGTTTTACAGTTAACATGGTGTCAACTTCTCAACTAAATGTAAATGATTTAATAAAAATATATTGTTGACAGCAATAATGAATATCATAGCAGAAGAAATGTAATAATACCATATGTAATTTAAGTGTATTAGATGAACGATAACTTCTTGCTAAGTAAGTTAAATCAAAGGAAGTTTACATTTATTTCAGTTTTTTGTTGTAATGCAGATAAGACCTAAGTATTAAATGGGTCTGTTTGTAACACTGAGTCACACAAATAACATATTCCTTCCTTTAGGGTTTTTGGATCCATTCCTTCCCCAGTAAATCTTTTTTATAGCTTTAACAGCGATCCTAAAATACATGCCAATTATGTGCTTCAACCTAGATCTGCGAATTGGGTTCTTTGATTCAGAATTGCTTGCCTCAATAAAATCATGTGTAACTTTTTAATGAACTAGCTAATTGATCACCAGCACTTATTATAAGAAGCTCAGGGAAGAGCTGAAAAAATGTTTGTTTACTTTTCTGGAGGCAGCAGCAGCAGCCTGTATTAGTAGTCTTAATACAGAAGAGTGAAAGCATTCACTTCAAAAAACAACCTGGCCTGTTTTTAATGATTGTTTAGAGGAATGAACACAACTGGGGGATACATAATGGCTTTCTCTGCTTCGAATTCATTCCTTTCTAAAGGCATTAAAAAACCACTGAATTTCATGCATTTTTGAAAGCTGGATGCCTGCCTTGTATGTCATTAGCTTTGCTAGAACAAAAAGATAAATTCTTCTATAAATATAATTGGAGCATTAACTTCTGATCTAATTTATTATTTTGAAGTCTGAAAAGAAGAGCGTGCAGGCAGTGTTCAGAGACACGCTGAACAGACATACGGGCAGACGGGGATGAACGACCTGCTACTCATGACTAGCATGAAAGTGTCAGAAGTCACTGGACACCCTAATATGTTATGCTTTATAATCTAAAAATGATCAGCAGGCTAACCTTCATTCCCTCTCATTTTCCTGCTTCTTGGCTTTCTGGCCAAAATGCCGTGGTACCGAGCACTCCCACCCTGGGAATGCTCATAGAGCTGTGGGAGGCACTTTGGCCCCCACATTACCTCTTCGCACCTGGGACCGCCCCGGCACCTCCTGCCTGCCCTCTCGGCTTCCCACAGCTCCCACCTCCAGCTCCCACACCACGGGGGACCTCACAGTCTCCTTTTCTGGCTCACAGCAGCATCCTGCAGGGCTCGATCATTTCTGTCCCCTTTGACTGAACAGTACCTTTGCAGCAGCTTTGTTTGATACAGAAGTGTCACAGATATTGTTTAAGAAGAGAACATCGGTGTCCTTCCCTGTTGAGCCCAGAAGACACATGTTTGGGATCTCAAAAAGTGGAAATCATGTAAAGGCATTTGAGGTTTTGGGGTCTGTTTCAAAAGGCAATATCTTCATTGAAAACTCTGCATAATCTAAACCCATGAAAATATTTTAACATATCAACACTAATCAGCAATACAACTACTGCTTGTGAAATGAATAAACCTATGTTATTCTTATTTTTATATCACAAGAGAGACCATTTTTAATGGCTATAACAGTCCTTGGTCAATAACTCTCAAGGGGCTCAGCCTGAAATCCCACAATGCAGAAGATGCTTGAGTCCTTTCACCAGTTCTCTGAATGACTTACCATTGAGCAAGTGATATATCATATTGTGGAGCAATGACTACATAAACACACATACCTGTTCCCAATGCCTAATTTACAGTTCTCGTTGGTTTTATCATAGCCAGTATTTTACTCAAAGTTTTATAAAATCCTCAGTCCCCAGGATACTTTCCTGCCCCTCTTCCTATTGCAGAAGTCCTCTAAGTAGTCTTTTCTCACATAATCAATATCTATAGGAGAAGAAGCAGATGTGTGTACTTTCTGGAATAAATTTTGGTTTTTTTTATGTCTCCTTCTGTCAGTTGCTAAATTTTTTGTTCATTCTTGCTGAACATCTCATCAAAGTTGTTTTGTGGATGTCTGCCACTACAGTATCCAGGTATTTAGTGTGTAAAGTCAGTTCACCACAATGTTACCTAGCAATCCTCCCCTTTTTATTTACTGATCTGGGCTGGAGAAAGATGTGCAATTCATGCTGAAATAGTTTTAGTAATCTTAAAATCTAAAAGGAATAAACCAGTTATTTTCATATCTAGATTCAAGTAGATAGTGAGCAGTTAAATCCCAGCTATGTAGGACAACCGCAATGTGATGTGGAGCAGACTAGACTCACCAAATTCTTGCCACTGGGTTTGCAAAGACTGTACCCTCATGCATAAATTCCAGAATTTCTTGCTGTTTTTATGCAATGCTGCTGACTAGATCCTCAACCACAAAATTCAGAGGGAAAGAAAAACACTGACTCAGAGAACCAGGCTTTATACCATGTTACAGTGCTTGCCAACAAGTGGCAGTCTTAGCTGTATTTTCCTTCTCTTCACATGTTTTACTAGGATTTTATCATAGGTTCTATTCTATTTTGAAAGAAGCTCCTAACATTTCCCTCCGTGATTGTGATTTATGCAGTATCAAAGCAAATAATCTCAGGTATTGAGGTCTTTAGATGATATAAAAAAGACAGTTATGTGGCATAACAACAAAACAAATTAAATTATCTGTGCAATGTTGAATTTAAAACAACTTTAAAACAAATGTACAGCCTTTGGAAAACTGAAAACAACATTTAAAGCTTTTTTGCACTTTCAGTAATTCCCATGATTCCAGACACTCCTAGCCATAGTTACCCCTACCAGCATAAGTTTATAAAAAATATATAGTCTGAAGCTTTATATAAATATACATTATTTAAAAGTTCACATGCTTATAATAAAAAATAACTGCATTATAATTTAAAAAGATTTTCATTTGCTAACTTAAACATTTATTCAGGTGTTACTACTAGTTAGTGCTATCTACTGATGCTTAG